ATAAAAGCCCTGGACTGTCAATCATATTTTTAATTTACTTATAATTTATAAAAAGAAAGCACATAGTCTACCGCACAATTTACCAAGGGAAATCAAATGTTAATGACTTTGAAACAAGCACTCAATGGACCAAATTAATGAAATAAGAACATTTAGAGAAGCAAAACACCTTCATGGAAACAAAGGTGGTCTTTGTTGGTGACTAGAACTGGTAGCAAATGGAATATAAAGTGCAGTATTAAGTCAGTTTGGCATTTATGAAATAAGCCCTATCGATTGTAGACTGTTCTCCACACGTTCAATAATAATTGCAACAGAAGGCTTTTGTATTAAAATATATTTCTTATTTGTTGTAAAGATAAATGAAAACTAATGACTGAGTCTGTTGAATTTCATATATAATTATCTTTTCAATGACTCTTTGAACCTGTATTTTTCTTGTACTGACTGACGTTCAGTTGAAATAACTCAGAATCCTAAGAGACACACCAAACTTGCAAGCACACAGCAAATTCTTATGTATAAATCAATAACCCAAACATACAGTTGCCAGCAAATAATCCCAAATGTATCTTGTAATTGTCTGACATGTCTCAATGCTAGGAATAGACCACTGTCTTACAAAGATAAAAAGCAAAACATATTTATATAAGCAAAAAAGAGACCTATTGGTATAGTATTACTGTAGATATGGTCTAAATTTGTTTCTGTCTCTAGTTGCTTGAACATAATTCTGAGCTTCACTCTGCGATACGTTTCTGTTATACTAACGCCCCACGCAAAAAGTAAAATATTAATCAAATTTTCAAAATCAAAGAAAAATCAGCAGAAATCCAGCTAGTAATATATACATTTTGTACCTTGTATGTACAGGTTTTCAAACTTAGGAAGCCACCTCAAAAACAAAATACTGTACTCTACAAGGCTGAAATACAACTATGCTAAAGAACAGAATACATGCTGAAAAGATGTGATATTGAAATCTGCTACAGTATCTATCATTTCATTAATAACTCAGGATTTTACATGAGATTATCGACAAATGATGAGGACAAAGTGTAGCAGCCACCCTTTAATCAACAAGCAGCATAAACAGCAATCAGAATCATTCTATCCCTTTCATGGATCTTAGTCAGCATCTGTCCCTTCAGCATTTCAGATTTTGTCAAATGTTTTGAATGATCCTATTATCACCTACAGTAATGCAAATCTTCTTTTTGTGATTGCTCCAGTACAGTATGTTAATCTGCAGAGACAGGTCAGGCAGAAGTATAAATGTGTGTAAAAAAGGCAAGGATGTGAAACAATCCCTTAACAAGAACATATTTAACAAGAGCATCTACAGTATGTCCGCTACTGGTATGAACTTTTCCATGGTACTCGTTCTGTTCAGACTATAATGAGTTTTTATGAATTGCCTTGTCTGGGCTGACTTGTAAGAAAAAAAAATAATTAAAAGGGTCTTAACCATTCAAGAGTAAACTTCCTTGTTATCTTGAATGTAATGTCCTTTTATGCTCTATAATAATTACTAGCATACACAATAACATAAAAAGCAAAGTAAAATTAACCTGAAACATCTACAATATTTGGATTTTGATAGTTCATCACGTTACATCAATTAGAGGGAGTTGTTTCCACCCAGGGAAAAGAATGTCGAATGTGATTCCTTGATTGATAGCTTTGTTTCTTATCCCTCAGTTGGGACTTTGGTGTCTTTCATTTCAAAACGGCAGCCACAGATGGCTGAGGTAATGACTGCATCCGTCAGCAATGAAAGAATGATAGAAAACCTGCTGGAAACTTTAGATTTTTTTAAGGAATACAAGTGTTCAAAACAATTTTCATTGTGAGCTCAAGCAATAAATAACCGTGGAAGAAAACTAAAAAATCTCATTCAGATTTCTTAAAGTAACCACACAAATGTACTGGTGAGGAACTAGAACGAGGTGGAAATTAATTTCTATTTATTCATTTAAAACCACAGTTTGAATGTTTGTCTGGATTTTATCTGGATATAGAAAAAGTGATGCAAATTTTGCATTGGAAGAAAGCTGCAAATTACATGTTCCAAATGATAATGACTTATTGTCCCATAAAGAAATGGAGAATATCTTAGTATTAGCAGTTCTTAGTATCTTAGTATCGGAACACATTATAAATGTACAGCAAATATAAAAGCCCAAAAATGGAACAGAATGGACAACATTTGATAAGAAACAACCCTTTGATTTAAACAGCTTCTTTGACTGTGAAGTCATCAGTGGTTAAAAACACATGAAGTATATCTCATCGTGTCTGTATCTACTGTGGTCTTTTACTTCCTCCGACAAGTAACATTTTTTCATGGCTGAGAAACAGCAGGTGGTTGATAATCACAGCAGAAATAAATGGCTTGCCACTTTGGGCAGCTGTAATGATCACATTCCTGGTTCCTACTGTCTTATAATGTCAGCTAATGAAATCCCCTGGCATGTTCTGTATCATACGTAGTTCAGTAAATAGATAATTCCTATTCATTCCCTTCATTAAATAAAGAAAGCAGGAGCTGGGCTTTTGTAACTGATAAATTCCCTTTTACTTTAAAAGGGACACTAATAACTGTCTCTAGGCTAAATAGGCTGGATTGAATCTTTGCTTAACAGAACATCTTAAAATGGCATTCATCATTGAGAAGCATTTTAAGCACGAGAGAAAACAACACCACAGATAAAACACACATGCGCACAAAATCACAGAGAGACACACAGAGCACAGACAGCCCCAGTAACTGAAAACATGTACAAATTCCCATCTATCCTTGAAAGCTTCCAGTGTAATCTTTTTTTTTTAGCCCTAACCTCAACCAATAGCACTTTTCTTGATGTGTTTGTTTTCTGGGTCAATTACCACTCAGTACTGGCTGGATCTGGACACTGATTTGTTCTGATGGGTGATGTAGCACATTCTCCTCCATGCTTGCCCCTAATACAGAAGCCTGCCATGTGTCATAGTACAAAAAAAGTATAAAAAAGGAGAAGAGAAAGTAATGTTCTGCAGTGCATCTAAAAAAAAATCAGGGCTGCCTTTGAGGTCCAAGAGTTTCTGCACATAGATTGCAGCGACTATTGAGAAGGCCTTGATGTGACTTTGCTACAGTATTTATCCCTCAACATTTACTTCACATAACCTCAGGCATAATATGTTGGGGTTTCAAGATTTCTGAAGCTTTCAAGTTACCAATGTAATGCACAAGCTTAGACAAGCTCATACAGAATATCAAAGAGTTGTCAGTGGGAGATGCACGTTCACAATTACTGTAAACGTGGCTTTCTCTGTGTTTCTCAATGGGTAAAATAAAAGAACTGGAGCATATTTAACTCAGAGATACAACAAGCCTTGCGCAGATATGGGAGCCTCAGGGATGGTTTGCACTTGGAAAAGGTTTCAGATACAGTATATGGTACATTGTACCTCTAAGAATACAAAAGAGGTGCAAAGGGGTATTCACCAGATTTAAGGTTTTGTCATGCCAGTACAATCACTTGCAATTATACAATCACACACGTCTTCATATTAAATATATTTTTAAATGCATATCCCTTCCTTGCTTGTAATTGTTTTCTGATGAAACAGCAAATGGATCCAATCTTCATGCAAATCTTTTGAAGAACCCCACAAAATTCATCACCAAAACATCTCCAGCACTGCACCTGCATCTACTTGCTGAAATCTTAGCAGTTCTTTACACACATTTTACCCACCAGGTTCTCTTGTTGCACATTTGTCTCCTCATATAGAGACAAATGCATAAAGATTACAATTCTAAAGGACTAGGAGGCATCATTTGACTTTGACTTCTAAGGTTATGTCAAACAATAATCTTTTCTTTTGTCCAACACAAACAGGTGAGAATACTCAGTCAAGATGAGCTTGCCTGCTCAGTCACCACAGACTGTACTCCATCCTCATTGAAGGATGGTTAACAATCCATAACAGAATGGGAGCTCAGTCAGCACCTGCTATTCACACTAAATCCCATCCCACTGCTTCTTTTTCACTTTGTTCTTGGCTGCAATGAGGAAAACATGAGTTGTGCAGCTTTGCTCAGCAGATTGCTTGAAAAAGATAGATAAAGAATGTAGGAGATTCTTAACAGTTATATGACATCCCAAAGGAAAATACAAATTTAAGGAATTACTGGCATGACGATAAGCATTGCTCCCTCATAGTGCATGGGTCCTGGATTCGATTTGATTCCAAACTGTGGTGCCTTCTGTGTACTTTTTGTGTTCTTCCCACATTTTTATAGGTTTTTGCCAGATGCTCTGGTATCCTCCCACCTCTCAGGACAAGCAGCCTTGGTTTATTCGTTTACCTAATAAACTGTCCTTACATGTGTGTCCTGCATCCAGTACAGGGTGCAGTTTTGCCTGGCAAAGTCTGCTTCCAGAATAGATCCTGGGTTGCTACAATAATTAAGTGTCTGAAGTTTTTCTGTTTTTTTCTTTATATACTCCGAGAGCATCTGAAGCAAGTGGTCCACTAAATCATCCAGTTTCTATTGCTGAGTGGTTGGCATTAGCACGGACAAAAAGGGAAAAAAAATCGGACAGTACAGTATTTAGGAATAAATAATACAAAACAACAAAACAAAGCATTCACTCAGTATGACCGAATAAAATACATACACCAGAAAAACACAAATTTCTATTCCTGTATTTGTGGGAACCTCTATTGACTCACATTATATTTATATTCATTTACAAACCCCACTCTACTCTCTGGGGTGCAAAAAAACATTTCTGGCACTTTTATACTTAATTAATGATAATGTTCTTCATGGGCCTGTGCCAAAATCATCTTGTGTGTTTCCTTGAATCCTGTCCCCAAATTTATGCATAAGAATACCTCCCAAAACACAAAAATAAAGACATTCCATTGCTTTTGCTGTCTTCTAACGAGCAGTCAAATCACTCGGGTTGCCCACTCTTTCTCCAGCCCTTGCTGAAAGGCCTTACCTTTTGCAGTTATTGCCGGCTGCTCCCCCAGCAAGAGTTTTAGCCTCTTGGCATGGATTTTGCCCTGGTAATGGGACTGTGCCACCACCGCCGAGGTAAAAGACATGTTACACAGCGTGCAGCATTTGTTCTTGTCCACATCACCCTCCTCACTGCCCTGTATAGAAAAAAAATAACCAAGTCGCAGTGAGGATGGGAGTGAGTTAGCGAGTTAGCCACTAATTCAGCAAGTTTCCATTGTTGAGTAGCTGGAAGATTCACTACAAGGACTAGGTTATGAAACTGGCATACATGCATTTATAAATGGGGCAGCTAAATTAATAAATATAATGACATATATCTAAACCAGCCCATTCAACCAGCTACATTGTGAAAACTATGTGCTGAGCAACAGTGAAATGTCTGCATATACTGTATTAATGGGATCACAGTGAATCCCCTGTGCTGTGAAAGGTTACATCTGAGAGGAGTCCATTCAACACATCTAGAGCAGAAGTGTTTTTTGATATGGGAGGTTTGATTCAAATGTACTTCAAGCATGCAATACTGTATATACAGTATACTGTAGTATAATATAGCATTTCTTATTGGGAGTTTTATGTGATTTTGGTGTTTATTCTACAGCAACAAACTGTAATTTCCTTTAAAATGTGATTATCATTGTGTCTTTACTATATGCCAATGAACAGTAGTACAGTAGTAAATATACTTTACTCATTGCCCTCTGAGTACATGAAGTTACTTAAAAAATCACAGTTGTGATTATTGTAAACTACATAAATTATGTATTGTTGAGAGCCCTGCAGCAGTTCCCCAGCTCACTGCCAGTGAAAGCAAGAGGGGTCCAGTTAGCCTCTTCCTTATAGATGCTTGAGCACTGCAATTACAGCTTAACAATTACAGTTAGGGAGCCACAGGTAAAAGCAGTGAGCTTACTTCACAATGTCATGTGTGTATTATCCAGACTTAGGGAAGGCACAGGCTGTATCTCCACTCAGTTTCTTACCAACCTTAGACAGGGGCCTGACCAGCTTGGCAGGTCAAAAGCAGCCTGCAGGCTGTTTTTTTGTCTCCACTGATCTAGAGAGTGCTACTTCAGCTCAGAGGGAGCACCACTTATGCCCATGATGACTTACTTGCATCCTCTGGTGAACACTGGAGATTGGTAAGGGCCTTCTTGACCATGAAAAATTCCCTATGGTTCAAGCTGTACTGTACACTTGCCAGCAGCCATATCACCCTGCAACTCACAACTGGCAGCCCACTGACGCTAAGCAGGTGTGAGCCTGGTCAGTACCTGGATGGGAGACCTCCTGGGAAAAACTAGGGTTGCTGCTGGTAGGGGTGTTAATGGGGCCAGCAGGGAGCGCTCACCCTGTGGTCTATGTGGGTCCAAATGCCCCAGTATAGTGACGGGGACACTTTACTGTTAACAGGCGCTGTCCTTCAGTAGGGGTGTAACCCTGGTGTCCTGGCTAAATTTCCCATTGGCCCTTACCAATCATGGCCTCCTAATAATCCCCATCTATCAATTGGCTTCATTACTTTGCTTTCCTTCCCGCTGATAGCTGATGTATGGTGAGCATTCTGGCGCACTATGGCTGCCGTCACATCATCCAGGTGGATGCTGCACATTGGTGGTGGTGGAGGGGAGTCCCCATTACCTGTAGAGCGCTTTGAGTGGAGTGTCCAGAAAAGGGCTATATAAGTGTAAGTTATTATATTTAATTGATCATTGAGATCATTGGATCATTGGAATAATGGTTTATGGTACCATTTTACACAAGCCAAATAAAAGATACAGTACTACTGAAAATGGCCAATTACATAACAAAGTAGTGTGCCATGAATCTTTGTCATAACTGCCTTCAATCAATAGCATCACTGCAGCCATGCAGTCACACTCCCATGTTGGAAGCTGTTTTAAGCATCAATTTTTCCAAATCAATATTTGTATTTCAATGAAAACCAAGTAGATCATCATGCTGCTATTACATATTTATCAGGTAAGCAGAACAAAAAGAAATTTAATGATCATGACACATTCAAAATGATTCACATTGGTACAGTGAACTGTGTTTTTCAAGTTTAATGAATGGGTATTCAAATAGAGGAGAAGGAAATAAAAAAATGTCAAAATGAGTGGAAATGATGACACGTGTGATAAGTTTTGTTTTCACTTTTGATTTTTGATTGCTGCCCATGATTTGAACTAGAAGCTTGGCATTTGCATATATTTTATTTCTATATCCTTTTTAACTCTTCCTCCCCCTGGAATATTGTTTAATACAAGTCTAATTGTGAATAAACCAAAGCATAGAGCTCAGTTGCTGATCTAAAGGTAAACTTATGAATGATAGAAACTCAGATACAACAAAAAACAAATCTGTTGTTGTATTAAACTTAAATTAGCATATGCATTGTTTTTAAACCTAAACCATTGGTAGGTGATTTTAAAAACATACTATTCCAGAATATGGACATTTACAAATTGTAAGCTAAAAAACTCATTATATTTAGTTGGGAGTTCAAAATTATGTACTAGAGAACAAACATTGGAAGTTGTTAAACTTTGTTAAACTATAAAATCATAGATCCCAGTACAAATAAAACACATTAAAAAAGCCCCCAAGTGATACAAGTTGTGACTGAGAGCAAATACTACTAATGTAATGGTGTGCTGAGACGTACAAGGGTACACATTAACCAGTTTTCAGCTGCCGCCCTTGTCCTTAAAAGACACTGTCTGTCGGTGTGGTAGCTTCATTAGCTATAGATCAATCAGAGTCAGTTATTTGATTTTACATTATGCAGCTAATACAGTCCTAGCACATAGTACAAAAAATCAAATCAAGAGGCACAGGGATGATACTACACAGCTACTTTCAGAAACAATTACCAGTCCCAGGGTTAATTTATACAAAGAGAGTGGGGATGAATAATCAGTTTTAATTCAATTTGTGTTTAAGTGACTGCATACAATTACGATTCCTGTTCCTTTTGAGAGCCTACTCATTGATTACATTAATCCAGCAGGGAAAGTGCTGTTATTGACAAATCTACCACTGGACATGAACTTAAATAAATGAAACACGGATGAGCCTGCTTTATAATTGAACTGGACAGAATAAAAAAAAAACAACTTTTGGAGTTCCACAAAAAACCCTAGAAAATCAGGTCTTCTAAAGAGCACCAAACAAAAGAAAACTGAAAAAACCCCAGTGAAATTCTACATGCATGTTTAAAAATATATCATTGTCAAGAAGCAAAACATAAAGTCCGAATGACAAACAATTCAATATAAAATAGATGTTTGCAAAAAACATGGTGCTGGTTATCAACAGTACTCCCACAACTTGCCCCAATTCCAGATCCATATTCCCTTCCTAGTGATCGTACGCCCCCGACATCAGAAAGATTAATACGTTCAAAGAAGGTGACACTTCGAGAAAAACAAGATAATTCAAAAAGGACTTCCACCCTCTCTCCACATCACTGGTCCATTTGAGAGTTCCTGTTTGAAAAAGCGGTACGTGTACAGTACTTAAACTCAAGGGTTTAACATCATTGATCTACTGTGAACATTTTCTTCCATGAACATTTCAGGTAAGGCACTAAGGTCTGCCAACTTCATTTAATTCTTTTTGTCATGTTTTACGATTTTGAGACATAAACATATCCTCCTACGGAAAGGATTTTTATTGGGAGATATGATATTACAGGTCCCCAGGAGACCAGAGGATTTTTTGCATTTTTCCAGCAGCTGTTAAGTATTGCAAGGAAATCACTTCTTTTCAGCTTTAATCTTGATGAGCTTTAGTAAACATTATGTCTTCAATCATTTTCATAATTGTTTTTGTATTATGAATAAAGTAATGTGTAGGAATAAGTGCATAAAAGATAAATGAATAACTAAAATTAGTCGTTTATTTTTAAATGCATAGTGGTTAAAAGCTTAAAGTCACAATGACAATAACAAAATGAGTGATACTAGTAAAATACACTTCTGCACTATATACTGTAAGTTACACTTTGAAAATACCACCATTCAGCAAATCTCTTAAAATTTATCATTCATCAGATACATTGTAAACTGTATCTGATCTGTAAACAGCAAAATCACTTTTATTTCAGGAATATTTTCTACCTAATGTATTGATTTTTCCTTTATTTTTAAAGGAAAAAGAAAACAATATGTGACACTACAAGATCCACTAGCATATTTTGTTTATGTAGCACTTCTTCAAGAATCATAATCATTTTGCATTTTGAGACAAAGCTCTAATTGTGAGGTATCCTATTCTGCCACCTGAAGTTCTTCTCCCAGAATACTTACACTCACATTCACTTATGCTAATTAACTAGTTGAGCAGAATTCTCAAGTGAAAATAAGGTAAAATACAGCAGACTTCATTATGCTTTAAGTATCGGCTTTCTCATCATAGTTCCACTCATTCAGGTTTGGAAGCTACGCTCAGAAATAGAATAAGACACCTGAGTGGGTCATCCTGTGTAGTCCAGATATTCTTGGTTATATTATTATCAAACAGCAGTCTACTTAAAAACACAAACACAGCCCAGATTTGGCATGCTTGAGTAAACCTAGGTATACTTGATATCCCATGGAACACTGACCCCCCATGTTTGCCAAGTGTCAGCTAAAAAGCCTGCCAAGCTGTACTGTAAGTACAAATGGCTTAAGTCCTTCATGTAATGCTAACTTAGTTGTAAGAGCTGTGGGTTTCTGTGTTAGACAGAAAATTGCATCAGAGAGATGACTTGTTGTTAATTGCTGATTTTCTACTCGGATTTGTTCATTGTTTTGGTGTTTTGTTAATAACTTTTAAAGGGCTTCCCTATTTCATGGTTTCGAATCGTAATACAATTGAAATCTTAAAATAGGAAAGCCTTTTAAAAGAGATTTCACTTAATACATTCAGGATATTGATAAAGTGAGCTCTGCTCTACCATTCTTTTTTGGAAAAGAACTAAAATCCCAAAATTGTAAAAATAAAAATTAAACAGCTTATAGTTTTTTTCAATTAGGATTCTGAAAGATGTACAGTATAGAACAATTCATTGTGTAACATAGTTGAATGTAAATATTTTGTAATTACAGTTTTGTAAATATACAGTGAGTAGCAATCTAGGAAGTAG